GAGAGAGAGAGAGAGAGAACATACCTGCCTGTGCTCACGGGAACAAAGACTGCCTCTTTTCAACCGCTCAGGACCAAAATATAACCAAACTGTGTTGTTCTTCTTGCAGATTTTATAATGTTCCCATAAGACTGTCACAGGGGGGTTAACTATAATTCATATTCTGTTAACAAAATGTATCAGAGCTGTAGCTAATTGTTGTTATATTAGGTATTGATTAATCATTTGGTCAAAAGTCAGAAAATAGGCCAGTGTAGTTTACAGGCAGGGGCGGATGTAGAGAAATATTCATGGGGTGTCCAGAGGGTGGCAGGGAGACTTTAATGGGTGGCAGAAATATATGTTCATTTAGTATCAATTAAACCCCCAAGTGAAGAAATGTGAACTCAAAAACATTATTTATAAACTAAATTGTGGCACATTAGGAAGGCATTAAATAGAAATGTCTAAAGATGTATTTTACATTCAACTTAAGCCTCACTTAGTCTAAACTGTACCAATAACATTCATTTATGTTTTTTAACATGTTATTTTTAATATTAATCAAAGTAACTATGTTCAATTTGACAGTAAACTGAGGTGGCCAGTCATTTTTTAGAGGTGGCACCCTAATGCCGCCCCTGTAGATCCGCCCCTGTGTACAGGCTCCAAACTGATGACTACAGCTGAACTGAATCGTCAATTAATCAATAAATGGATTGACACAAAGATAATCAGGAATTACTGACATAAAATAAATAAGAGCCAAAGATGAACTATTTTACGATCATCATACTGTGTATAAAAAGTCTAATAAAATCCAATACTACAATAGTAGATTAAACTACCCAACAGCAGATAAAGATTTAGTGGATTAATGCAGAACTAATATTAATCCAAAAACATCCCATACAACACTGACAGAGGACATTTTACTGCATAATGTACACTTTAGATTTAGATAGTTTAAATAAATGTTGCTGCTAATACTTAAATAAGGTTCTGAATGCAGGTTGTTTACTGTTGCTTAAAGATCTCCTCCCGACGTGTATTAAGAGAAATACAAATAGAATACTTGGAACAATAATGTGTGTCTGATATGTTTTTTTCCCCACAAAAAACAAGCATCTACTCCTTCTGCCTCATTCAAATATGCACATTTTGTTCATTTATTATTTCTCTGCTGGACACAAGATGTCTCCTTCATCACTATAAAGTCCATTCTCAGTGTTTGTGCTGGCGGCTTCAAGTTTCTACGTCACACTTGTTTAAATTTCATACCGGACCAGGATGAAACTTTTCACTTTCAGCAGATCTAGTGTCAAACTCTGCACACACATCGTTCTGCACAGTGAAGATTAAACTCGTAGGAACAAGATGAAAAACAGATTTTCTAAGTGGAGTCTGAGTAAACAATCTTATATTTGCCTCTGAGATGTAGTCGAGTACACATGTAAAGTAGAAATACTGAAGTAAAGTACAAGTACCTCAAGTATTACCTTATGCAAATGTGTTGTTATATTCCTCCACTGGACAGAGGTTATAATGTTTATCTGCATCCAGGGAGTCATAAACTGTACAGGCTGTAAACTCCTGTATAGTAAATATTGTGATTTTGGACTTGTTCATGTACGTAAAACATTAATTCATAGTTATAATGAAAAAAACCCAAAGACTACAGATAAGTATATCTTTAATAATGAACATGATCAAATCTAAGAATGTGATGGTGACCTCTGATACAATGAATATTTAATTCAGGGATGACTTAAAACTTTTTTTTTTTGCATAAATTTTCTATATTCCAATACCAGTAATATAACTCTGATTGCTCCACAATCATACTCCCTCTCTTTTCTTTCACTCTTGCACACACAATACAGCAAGCAATTAATAAAAAAAGAAAAAGAAAAAGGTCACAAACATATACCATATAGGCTAATCTCTGGGTTTTCATACACTTGACAATAAATCAGTTAAGTATAATGCTACAGTTAAACATTTTGAGGCGATCTCAGTTAGAAATGCCAAGTACATTAAAGCTTACATTTTCTGAGGATGATGGTGGACAGGTTATAGCAATGAAAATGATGAGAATGCCAAAGATTATAATTATGTTAAGAGAGAACAAGAAACAAAAACAAAAAAGAGTGACAGACCTAGCTTGAGTTTTAAAAGCAGTACATGCTACATTTCCTCCAGAATTTTAGAAACCGAAAAGGGGGGAAACAAAAAGTCACCGTATCAGGGAAAAAAGACAAGAAAGCAAATTTTTCTGTGTTGATAAAAACCTGAAATCATACAGTATAGTTGTTTTTCCATCCTTTTAAATAAGAAAGAGAGGGACCACCTTTAAGAGCGTTTGATCTCTACACTTCTTTTCCCTGAAATCTCTAGCTGAAAACTTTTGAGGTACAATTCAGAAAAGAAAAGAAAAGAAAGTTACAAATTTTCATTTACACTAGTGCTGATAATTGTTAAGGCTCCAATCTAGAGAGACAAAAAAAAAAAAAAAACATTTTCTCCACTTTAATGCTAAATTTAAATCAGTTTTAAGCCAGGTGATACATTATTCAAAATATTACTCTAACATTAATGCTTTCTAACGTCACAACCTTGCACAATTTAAATCTATGCATACAGAAACTCTCAGTGAACACATTCCTCCACCAAAGTAAGACACCCCTCACACTGGAAAAAAAAAGGGGGAAGGGGGCATTATAGAAGTAATTTTTTTTCTTCTTCTGATAATATAAAATACAACTGGCCACACACAGATAGCAGACATTTTGTCAATAAGTGTAGTTCACTCGTTAAGATTAACCAATACAAGCACTTAACATTTCTCCAACACACAAACCACAAAGTGAACAGTCACTGAATATCAGCAGCATGTTGTCAAGAGATTTTCAAAAACAGACGTGCAGATATTTTGTTACTTATATTTAGTTAAGAATGCAAGTTCCAGGGTAGCGATAGAGATTTTATAAGGCTAAAAAATACAGAAAAAACAAGAAAATATATATTATTGAAGCGATTCAACTGGTGGAACTAGCTTCATCCCTGCACGCATCTTAAAGACTGGGAACCGGGAGCGACGTGGGTCAAAAAGTTTGACGTGGGCCAAAGTCAACAAAATTAAATAGAAAAAAATATTAGTTTTCAATTTCTTTATGTCCTTGTTCCTTTTTTTAAATCTAAATTTCGTTTGACAGCCGTCTTCTGTTTACTTCTGACGATCCTGAAAAAGAGGGACATAAAACAAAGATATGATTAGAGAGATTAATCAAGTCACATCCCCACATGTGTAATATCATAGGACAAAAACAATGTGATTGTAGAGCCGTATCAGTAGGGAATAGTATGAATTGAATTTCAGTTGATTTACAGTGACAATTTGACCCTATTATGTTGTAGTTTTTGTCTAAATTAACACATTTTTATTATAGACTTTTGCACATTGAGAGTTTTTTGCCCACATTTCCCCCACACACAGTGTTTTAACATCAATATCTACTAAAGATATACACTAAAAATATTAACTATTCTCATCTCAACCGGCCCCTAACCCAGAGAGAGATAACTAAGGTAACTTTACCTGATCGATTCGGGATCGGCTCTGTATTGACGCAGGCTCATAGCTCTGTTTAAAAAAAAAAAAAAAACATCAGAAACACACATCTCATCAGTTTTTACCACAATATTTAAAAACAGTTATCGAAAACAATCAGATTTTCTAATTATTTAAAGGATCAGTGGAGTCAAACAAGTTGAAAGAATAAAAACCATCTGACAAATAAAGGACTGTACAAATATTATTAAGCAGCGAGGAGGTGGGAATTTTTATTTTTGATGAAGGGAAGAGTTTTTGGGAGAGCAGAGGAGGGTCTTTTATTTATTTTTAAGCTTTCCCTTCTAACATTTATTACATAAAAACTAGATCAAACAGTTACATAAACAAGATGTGTTCCATAAAAGGTGTGTTTCGCAGCAGTCATGTCTGTGTCAGGGCTTTATTGTCTTCATTACAGTCTAAGCTAAAACACACCCGGTTAACTTTGCCTCATAATGCGGTTTAATGACAACTAACTGCCAACATCACTGGAGCCAAAAATCACATTTATTTTTCTTATTAAAGTCCCTAAGCATCACAAATTCTACCTTTAATATGCAAATTAATGATCCATTAAGATAAGGAAGGTTTAAATTGGGGTACAAAATTTATTTTCCACAGGCGGATGTGTAACAGTTCTCTTGATTATGGGACATAAGGATGTTTAAAGACTGCCAGGATACATCATTTTAAATATTAAGACCAGTGTTTAGAATTTAGTCGCATCTAGCAGTGTAGTTGCAGATTACAACTTCCACACTTCACCCTCCTCTTCCAAGCACAAAGGAGAAACTAAAGTGGCTGTGAAATGTGCAAGAAACTGGAACTGGATGTTTGTTTGTCCTGGGTTACTGTAGAAACAGGTCTACAGATAAAAACGTCTCATCCTAAAGTAACAAAAACATAAAGATCCTCATTTTCAGGTGATTCTACACTGAAAACATACCTACGAATATTATATTCCATTTCTGCTAATAGATCCTCCTCAAAGTTACACCGGACCTTTAAAAGGAACCAGTTCAATATATATTTTTTGATCGATAACACTGGGAAGTTTTTCACCCACCTAAATCATTTTTGTACAGTCCCTAAATATCTTTACACCTTTCATTCAAAACGGTGTCTAAAAGTCTAAAAGGAAATCACCACCTTTTTCACCACCTCCTCCTCTTCCTGCTTCTTCTCATAGTGGGAAAAGTCATCAAAGATGGAGGTGGTGTGTTTGTACTGGGCGATGATCTTGAGCACCTGCTTCGCCTTTTCCAGAGGAACCTCTTGAGTGTCACGCGAGTTGGTGACCGGTTTGTTGTCATTGTTCTCCAGGCGGATGTGGCGCAGCTGGCTGTTTGGCACGTCCTTAACAAACAACCAGTTCACATCAAACTTGCCCTTCCACTTGTCCTGCGCCCAAACGCCAGCGCTGGTGCCGTAGTCCACAGGCGAGCGCATTTCGGCCACGCCGCAGAAATGCCCGCTGCCGTTGACGCTGAACAATAAGTAGACAGGACCTTTAGCGTTCATAGCTCTGAAGGCTGAGTCCAAACGTTTGTTGCCGTGCTCCGTGCTGCACCAGATGGAGTACTTGATGGAGCGGTGGATGTCGTCCTCAGAGTAGCTCTTGATGATGAACACGCGGCCGTTTTTCAGGTTCCAGTCAAACTCCTTGGGGTTGTAGCTGTGGGCCGCTCGCAGCTTCTCCAGCACAGGGTGGGACTCCGATCCCGGCTCCGGAGGCACCCCGCCGCCGCCGCCGCCTCCGTTACCGACACCGCCGCCGTTAGAGGAGCCGCTGCTGTCCAAGCTTCCCCCGCCATAGCACAGGTTGCGGTTGCGCGGGGCTACCCAGCGGGTCTGAGGCGTCGGAGCGGAGTTGTGGTTCTGGTAAGACTGCGGAGGAGGTGGTGGAGGACCCTGCATGGTCATCTGCTGCACGAGGGACTGGGCAGACTGTAGGGACTGTTGAAGGGGGGGCAGGAGACTGGGAGCGTGGGAGTGAAGCTGGGGCTGGTGCTGCTGGTGATGGTGGTGGTGGTGGTGGTGGTGGTGCGGGGGTAAAGGAGGGGCCATCTTGGTAACAGTCCCTTTATTATCCCACGTATCAATGTCCATGTTGTGTTTAATGGGAGGTGGAGGCAGAGCTCCGACAGCGATGGGCGTGCCGGGCTTGTTCTTCGTCTTTTGTTGCTGCAGCTTGGCAGGTTTACTAGCGATGGCAGCCCACGATGTCGGTTTCGGGGGGGGCATTCCAATCGGTGTGCCACCGTTGCCCGTGGCAACAGCTGCAGCGACACTGCCACCGCCGCCGATCACAGAGCCTGCACTCTTCACACCCGAGCCACTTCCTGTCACATCCCCACCTATTTTTAAGCCCAGCATGCCCTGCTCTAGGCTGTTCATACCTGGAGCCTTGCTTAGGGTGTCACTATGGAAACCTGTCTGGCCATCGGGGACCAAGGTGCCCCCCAGAGAGCTGGGCGGGTAGCTGTAACTGCCCCCGTAGGCCGAGCTCTGAGTCTGCTGGCCCTGAGAACCGCTGGTGCCCCAGGCGGAGAAGGCCGGGTTCTCCGGGAAGAAGTTAAACCTGTGAGGATAGATGCTGCTGCTGAGCCCGCCCGGCTGCCCAAACACCGTGTCGTGCATGAAGTGATGGTCTCCATTGCTGAGGGGGGCATAGGGTGTCAGGTAGGGAATCGGCGGGTCACCTCCTGTAGACCACGGAGCCTCACTGAGAGGGTAAGGAAACCCAATGGAGGGGGCATAGTAGCTGGACAGGTAAGGGTCTGTCATTGATTGATAGCTGTTATTCTACAAACAGAAATAGAGTTGAGATTATTTGTTAGGGGCAACAAGATGCGGCGATGATTGGTTGAAAATAAAGTGATTTTCGTGTCACAGTACCTGATTAGACTGGCTGGTGAGATAGGGCTCAAAGTCATTGTCATGGACTGTATCCTTCTGGTGGAGCGAGCCATTCTGCACTGAAACTGGAAAGGCTGCAACAAAATCAGGCTGTCGTCAGAGCGGGAACATCCGAATTTACAGAAGAAAAAAAAAAAACCCTCCGAACAACCTAACGGCAACGAAGCCACGAATATCTGCGTTGTACACGTTTCCCCAACTCTTAACTTCTTCTGCGACATCCCAGAAAAAGAGCAACATGCAGCCGATTAGAGCTGAACTGAAGCTTTAGACGCAGATTTATTCATTTTAAATAAACACAGAATGATGTTTAGTGATTTAAAATAGATTATCCCGTCCGTCAGATAAACCTAACCTTTGCAGGAGTTGACCTTTCAGTGAAACGTGCGAGGTGTTTTGCGTCGACAAGCACAACTAAACAGCAAACGTGGATCAAAATATGTGTTTTCTCTGTTGACATAAAGACTACAAATACATGATATATGGAGGCGTCAGGTGACAGCTATGTATGTGCAATATCTGAAGGTGCAGGAGACAAATCTTTCTCTTACCTTTGCTTGCATCTTGTCCTTTCGATGTCTTTAAGTGGTCACGTTTTTAAAAAAAAAAAGGAGCAGCAGGAATGCATGTGGAAAAGGAGACATAAAGGAAAAAAGCTTGCATGGGTCTCCAGTGTCAAAGCATCACACATGAACCAAGCTGCAACACTGAACAAACCCTCCAGTCTCACACAAGCAGTGAAAACATCTGCCAGACCTTTCACTGGAGAGCTGAGGTCCAGGCCTTTTGGTTTACCTCCCCCCCCCCTTTTTCTCTCAGCTGGCATCTCTCTCTCTCTCTCTC